TTTTATTGGTTTTCTTTTGAGATCAATCATAATTATATTTGATTATAGTTCTCCCACTATTCAAAAAATTTTGTAAAGAAATTCTTTTTTGTCAATAAGAACGGCTAAGCTATTTTCTCAACAACTTTACAACCAATTTAATAAAATGAAAAAATAATCCCAGACAGATCCTTAATGTTGGATTCGACATAAATATTGTTAACTAGAATTTTTAAAAAATTAATATATTTTATTTTTATAAATTTTTTTTTGGACATTTAGGCCAATTAAGACAAATTCACTGTTGATATGCATATTGATCATTTGTCATACTTTGTGCAAAATCCTACGCACAGGTAAATAACCTAGATTACGAATGATTTAACATTTACGTATCCTTTGGAAGAAATATTTATATAATTGATATATCATCAAAAAATTATCTTGAACATGCATGAATCTCGACGCAAAATCAAGTTGGAAACTTCAAAAAGTAAATCGAAAATCATATGAACTCTGATTTTAGCGAACTTATAGCGAATTGAAGGTCTCAAATATATGAACCCAATGACACCAAATTAAACCCAATCTGAGCTCAAATAGGTCCAAATCAAAGACCTGAAGTGCGTTTGGAAAATTCAATCCATAATTTGGATTACCAAATAGTTTCCAAACGTGACATGCTTATAGTTGAACCGAGTGGCTCACTAGACGAATCCAACAAGCCCAAGATCACCCAATTCTGATATCGTTAAGACATTCAGTTGCTCAGTAAATGGTCCATAATCGAGGGATTCAATATCGGTCGTCCATCCAAACCACTCCCAATTTATCCTTGATCTTCCTAGCTCTTATTTACGGGTCATGCTACTCTCAAAAAATTATAAATAGCCTCCCCATTTATCATAAAAAGGGATACTCAATTATTAGGTCCGGACACCTGACATAGCTCTACATCCGGATACCAATAACATGTCGCCGCGTGCTCTTACTCTTTACCGCGCGGCCTGACGACCCGGACCCGATATTGCTATGTATTGACTGATTTGAGCAGACCAGGGTATTGTTAAGTATTACTCGGTATTGCTCAGTATTGGTCGGCAATAATGAGAAATACCAATATGTCAAGACCAATACCGAGAAAAATCAAGCAATACCTAGCAATACCCCAGTTTTGCTAGGTATTGCTCAGTATTGCTAGGTTTTGCTCGGTATTGTTAGGTATTGGTCTTGACAGAGCGGTAAAGATCAATACCTAGCAATACCGAGCTATACCTAGCAATACCCGAACATAGCAATACTGGGTTCATGTCTGGGTCGGGTCGTTGGGCAGCGCGGTAAAGAGTAAGAGCACACGTGGCGAAATGTTATTGGCGTCCAGATGTAGAGCTACGTCAGGTGTCCAGACCTAATAATTATTCCTAGGGGGGAGGAGAAGGAGGCCCAAGCAAGAAGAGAATGAATAAAAGGAAGAAAGCTTTATTGCCACCAGACTCTTCCTCAACCATTGCAGGACTTCAACCCGACAACCTACCGGCGCTGGAGTTCTGCCCAATAGCTGATCGGCGCCAGAGTTTTCCTGATAGCCTACCAGTTGGAGTTCCGCCCAATAGCGGACCAATGCCAAAGTTCTACCCGACCGTCGACTGATGTCCGAGTTCTACCCGACCGCCAACTGACGTCGGAGTTCTGCCCAGTAGCCAACTTTCACCGGACTTCTATCTGATGCCGAAGTTCCACCAGTCACTGGACTTCTACAAGTCATCGGACTTTCATCAGACTTCTAACCGACATCAGACTTCTATCTGTCGCCGGATTTCTACCTAACGCCGAACTTCCGCCCGTCGCCGGACTTTCACCCATCTTCGAACTTTCATCGGATTTCTACCCAGCGCCAAACTTCAGCATGTTTTTCTGTTGTCGGACTTTGGTCAAACTTATGCCCGACGTCGAACTTCCGCTCATCGCCGAACTTTCTACCTCCATCGTTAGACGACTACGGTCCTTCCTATCTCCTTCACCAAACATCTTTTTCTAACTACTATTATTAATTTGTCGACTATGGTCCTAGCATATGTTGCCAGACAACGATCATTCTGGCCATCATCGCTCGTCGATTACGGTCCTTCCGACCTTCATAGCCAGATTGTGGTCCTCCCGACCTTCGTTACCGAATAACGGTCTTTTTAACCACTATCGCTCATCGAATACGGTCCCTCCGACCACCATCACCAGACTATGATTTTTTCCGACCTCTGCCACCCGCCGACTATGGTTCTACCAACCAAACAGATGTTATCAATAGTGATTATTTCAAGTCCCATCATGTAACACACTCTATATGATGTATATTTGTTACATTAAGCTAAGACCTTTTTCCAAGGAAGGGCATCATTTGTACTTAACTGCAAATAATAGTGGATTCATTCAAATTGGGCCAGATCCCGTGGTTTTTCCCCTTTTTCAGGGTTTTCCACGTAAAAATCTTGATGTTCCTTATGAATGTTGCTCCCTCACTTTTTATCTGATTATGTTCTAGATCTTCGTATAAGCTAAGATGTTAAACTTTATATTTCTCTATCGCCGTGAATATTCCACGACGCAACCAGATAAATGATGATATTATGTCATTAGGAGTCAAATTTTCTTAGAATAGGAAAACCAATAGTTCTAATAAAACAATCTTCAAATCTTTGACATATTGAAAAACATCTTTTTGTCCGTTTCAAATATAGAAAGAGTGTATGAAGTGAAGAAAAATAGAAATTAAATTAGCAAGATCGCTCTGCTAGGGTTTGCAAGGGTTTCCTTTTCCTTTGCCGCCTAGTTTTGCCGCCTCCGCCCTCTCCCACCCTGTGAGGGGTTCCCCTTCCCATGGGTTCCCCTCTCCAGGAGCATGATTTTCCCCCTCTTTCTCATCTTTCCACCTGTGCTCCTCCTACTCACCTCCCTTCCCGGGCTTGGACGAACGTTGTTACCCCCGAGAGTCTTTCTTCAAAAGACCTTCCGGTTGATCTTCGTGAAGATCCAGATGAAGTTCTTATTTTTCAGAAAGCCAAAACGGATGCTGCTGCGGAAGAATGGAGTCTATCGCTGGTAGGCTTCTCGGTTGGTAGGCGGCCTTATTATGAGGCCCTTTTAGCTGCCCTTAAGAAAACTTGGAGACTCCAAGGTAATATCCAGCTTTTTAACCTAAGTGACGGTTTTTTTCTGATAAGGTTTTCCTCGCCTGTTGATTATGAAATGGCTTGGAATGGGGGAGTCTGGTTCATTCTAGGACGCCCCTTTATCTTGCAAAAATGGTATCCGCGTTTTAAACCTGTTAGAGAAAAGTTCACTTCTGTGCCGATTTGGGTCAAGCTGATAGACCTTCCCCTCTGTGTCTGGAACTCTGAGGGTATTTCTCGCATTGCTAGCAAAATTGGTATTCCATTGGCTGTTGATGCTCTCACTGCCCAGAAAACCAGGTTGACATATGCTCGTGTCTGTATCCAGGTTAATAGCAAAACCAAATATCCGGAGTTCATTCCTATTTCTATAGAAGATGAAATCATGAATGTCAAAATTCAATATGAATGGAGACCTTCCCCCTGTGAATCATGTGAATCTCTGTTTCATTCTTCTGCTTCCTGCCCCTCCAATCCCAACAACCAAATGGAGGTAAATGCCAAGAAAGTTGCTTATCCTAGAGGCAGAAGCTCTTCTCGTGCCCCGCCAACCAACCGGGAAAAAAGTTCTAATCCTTCTGGCCGTCCCAAGGTTTTTCCTCCACACCCGAACACCAAACCTGTTCAAAACTCCATAGATCCTCCTGTCAACAATCCTCTTGTTGACACTCCTTCTACATCCTCATCTCCGATTTCAATACCCCATAATGCAGCTGATAAATCATCTGCCTCAAAACCTTTACCTCCACCAACAGTCAACATCCCCAATCTCAATTCACCCACCGATGATAATGTCATCACCTCTATCAACCTCTATGTTCCACATAAGCAGGCAACTGACCTTGTCTCCCCCAACAAATTTGATGCTCTATTGGACATTCAATCTGATATCCTTTGCACGGATAAGGAACCGATTCTTAATATATTATCAAATAGGGAGAATGAAGTTATTCAACAGCCAAAAAATAATATAACCAGTGCACCCCAACCCCCTCCATCCTCAGCAGCTAAAAATACTCGAGGCAAGCATAAGAAGCCTCAACCAACATCCTCCAAATCTCAATGACCCTTCCTCTCGTTGCTTCCTGGAATATTAGGGGGTTCAATAACCCAAGCAAAGTCAATGTTTGTAAGCATATTATAAAAGCACATAACTTGGATCTTATCTGCATCTTGGAGAATAGAATTCAAGCGAATTCTATGTCTGATCACTGGTTTACTACCTCTCACAATGTTTTTGATTCAGAAGAAAGCTGTAACAACTTTAATCAATCTGTTTCGGGCAGGATTTGGATAAAGTGGGCCAGAGATAGGATCTCTTTCATCCCCACTTTTTTCTCCCCTCAGTTAATTTGCGGTTTTGTTTCTTACAATTCGTCCAACAATTTCTTTTTGAGTGCTGTTTATGGTTCTAATTCAGCTGATGAGAGAAAGGTTCTTTGGCAACAATTACAATCCAATTCTCCTTCCCCAGACATTCCGTGGATTATCATGGGTGACTTTAATTGTTGTAGGTATCAAAATGAGAAGTCCGGGGGTTCTCCTCTCCATCATAGTAGGACGGGAGATATTAATTCTTTTGTTTTTGACAACCAACTTATCGACCTATCTTCTTCAGGGCTTTTTTATACTTGGTTTAATCAACAAACAGAGAATTCTATTCACATTAAGCTGGACAGAGCTATTGTGAATGAAGCTTGGATTCAAAGATTCCCGCTATCTTATTATTATGTGGATATGCCTCTTTGTTCTGACCACAGTCCCATCATCCTTAAAAATGGCAATCCTGAAATCATCTACACCCGTTTTCAGTTTAAGAATTTCTAGACTTCTTATGATGATTACTGGGGTCTTATGCTTGAAACCTTTCTGCTGCCTACTGTTGGAAATCCTCTGATGGATTTTTCCAATAAATTGAGAAATTTCAAAGTTGCCATCAAACTGAAAAAGTGGGGCTCAGCTAACTCCATTCAATCTGATCTTAATCGTCTCCAGGAAAAGCAGATGGCCCTTCTAAACTCTCTTGATGCTGACCCGTTGAACAACACTCTAAATTTTGAGCTGAAAAACATTAATGGTCAAATTGCTGACCTTTCTTCTTCCTGGTCCTCTTGGATGTCTCAAAGAGCAAAAGCCAAATGGCTCAAACAGGGGGAGGACGACCTTAAGTTTTTATATTCCAAAATTCGTTTGAGAAAATCCTTCAACAGTGCTGCTTTACATAACATTATTGGAGACAATTTGGGGAATACTGATAAGCAGAAGGTTATCTCTCATTTTCAAGATCTATTCAATACTGTTGCTCCATCTTCTCAAGAACCTGCCTTCTTGCCGGTTGGACAAACTATACATAATACTGATTCTAAAATTCTGATTGATCCCATCACTGAAGCCGAAATCAAGTCTGCTGTATTCTCTGGAGCTTCTTCATCTTCGCCTGGTCCTGATGGATATAATTTCCATTTTTATAAATCGGGTTGGCACATTCTTGGGCCCTCATTATGCAAAGCTATTCAATCCTTTTTCATTAAAGGTTACATTCCACCGGGGATTAAAGCCACTGCTTTATTCTTGATTCCCAAAACTTCTCATGTTAATACCTTATCAGATTTCAGACCAATATCTCTTTGCAACACTTTGTACAAGATCATTTCTAAGATTTTAGCTAACAGGCTTAAAGTTTTTATGCCTTGCATCATTGATATGGCTCAATCTGGTTTCATTAAAAATCGGATCTCCAATGATAATGTAATTCTTGCATCTGAATTGCTGAGATATTTTAGGGAGTGTACCATCGATCCTTATTTCTGTACCAAGTTGGATATAAAAAAGGCTTTTGATTCCATCTCTAGAGAATTCATACTTCAAAGAATGGCGCAAAAGGGTATTCCTCATTTGTTTATAAACTGGGTCAAAGCCTATATTACTAATGTGAATTATTCGATTTGTATGGAGGGCCAATTGGTGGGTTATATTCCGTCTACGGTTGGGCTAAGGCAAGGCTGTCCCTTAAGTCCTTATCTTTTTTGCATAGCTATGGATGCTTTATCTAATATGCTTGATAATACGATTGTTGGTCCTTCCTTTCAACCTGTTAAGATCAATGGCTTCAAGATATCGCACCTACTGTATGCGGATGATGTCCTCATCTTTGGAAAGGCCAGTGTGCCGAATTGCCAAATCTTAAATGATATCTTAAACAAGTTTGCATCTTCCTCTGGTCTTGGGAATATTGAGACTAGGAAGCTTCATATGGTCTCTTGGGCTAATACTTGCAAACCAAAAAATAAGGGAGGCATTGGTTTACCTTCCCTACACGCTATCCGGTACTCTTATGACTGCTCACTAATTCTTAGAATATACAAATGGCAATCTCAGTTATCTGAATGGTATTTTTCAAATCATTGCTCTCCTTGGAAATTACCTGCCCCCTCATCTTCAGCCATGTGGAAAAGCATCTGCTGCTCTGCTATTCAAGCTAAACCTAATTTGGTTTTTAAGGCCACTGAGTATTGTCCCATTAGTCTTCTATGGGATCCTTGGCTTAACGGTAAATGTTTAAAAGATGTCCCTGAGTTCTATTCTGATTCCATCTTATGCCAGGACTTTGCCAAGCTGAATACCTTTATTTATGGTGGTAACTGGAACATTTCTAGTAGGTTTTTTGATAACTTCAAAAATGCCATTTCCTCCATCTCTATTACCTCTGGCGGTAGAGTGAATTGTTTATCTTGGGGAAATACTCGAAGGCATTTGTTTTCCTGTTTTCTTTAGGATTATTATAAGGGGGAAGATGATGTTCCCTGGCACAAAGCTGTTTGGCATAAGCATTCAAATTTAAGGTTTTCTGTATACGCTTGGCTTTGTTTTGTTGGTGGTCTTAAAACTGCGGAGGCTTTAAGAAAAAGGAATTTGGATGTGGACCCTGTATGCATTCTTTGTCACTGTCATGCTGAAAACATCTCCCACCTTTATTTTGAATGTGATTTCACTTTCAATATAATTAGCTCCCTTCTTCCTTCTATTAATTCCTTTCTTTTGAGACCTACTCTTCTCCAAATTTCTGGCCACTTTCTTAATAGTGGTAGTTCGCTGGGATGCCCTGAGGTCAATTTATTGATTCTGTGGGCAGCTGTTTATACTATTTGGAGAGAAAGGAATGGGAGAAAATTTGCTCAACAGTTTAAAAGCAACATTACTATAAAAAATCATATTAAGAAGGTGGTGGCGATTAAACTCCAGAAATGGGAAAAACATTGAATGTTACATTGGTTGACTGGATTCTTTTATCTGGGACTATTTATTTATGGGATTGGTTTGTATCCCTTTCTTCTCGAGCAAGATTATCCGGATGTTTATGCGAGCTGGAATGTGTCTACGAGATTGTCTTACAGGGGGCGATGATGTACAGCATTTCATCCTCCCCCTGGATGGAAATTTTTGCAACATTTCTATATTCTATATTTGATGGCAAACCTGGCAACCGGGGGATATGGTTTATTAAGGGATGAAATCTGTTTTTTTTTTACTGAGCCATATCTATCCCTTAAGACCAATTTAAACCATCTTGGGGTTCTCTTTTTTGCTGGAAGGAAACTTTCTATTACTTTACAGGAATCTTGGCTTTGCTCAACCAGTGGTTTGACGTGGATGCTGGATTCATCCTGTCTTCCTATGGGCTACAGGCTCTATGGCAATTTGAAGTTCTTATGCCTCTGGATTATCTGAAGCTTGCTTGCTCTTCCATCTGTTTGCTGTGGCTTCTACGAGATCTTTGCTGGCTGGTTTTTGTTGTTTTTGTTCAATTTCTTTTTCTATACCTACGCTAGTTGGAAAATTTTGTTTTTTATTTTCCACTAGTTTTTGTTATTTGGCCCATGGTATAGTTTTTTGCAGTTTGCTCTTTGGAGCTACTTTGTAACTAGAGGTTTTTTACCTCTTTTTTACCTTCTTTTATATACGGGCTCTGCCCTTAAAATTCCAAAAAAAAAAGAAAAATAAAAAAGAGTGAGAAATGATATATGTATAATTTCTTCTACTTTCATAATAAATTTCTTGATATAATATAGCTGCTCAATTTCAAATATTTTTTCCACGTTAAATTCTGACGATCATTCCTACTTCCCAACATCCTTTTTCACGTTAACAGCGGCCCCTGGCTTCTTCTACAAAATATGAACACATAAACAGAAAAAACTAACTTCTCTTACACGCCAGATGCCTGGCTTCAGGTACAATCCAGAAAACAGAATCACAGACAGACAAGAGAACTTGAAAATGGCTGGGAACAGCAAAGACGTGTAACAATAGCCGAAAGAATCTGATAGCTGAAACTATAAATGAAGATCACACTTTGACAAGAGAATCATCTTGATCACCAATATACAAACAATCGTATAGCTCTTATGCAGTTCAAATTTCAGAATAAAAATCATTCACATAAGCACCATTGTTCGCTTAAGAAACCTGCCTTATTTTACTAAGCCAGTTATTAAAATTCATTTAATTGGTTGTAAAATGATTCCATCGTTGTTACTTGTTAGCACTACCAATTAAGCAGGCTACAATGCTACTGCAATTGCAACAGTCATAGACAGGAAATATGATGCAAAATAATAAAGCTGTACTGTTATAGCTTTTTTTTAATCTTTTATTTATTAGAAATACATTATGAATTAGATATATATAATTATGAATTTAATTTGATGTGCATGTCCAACTAGATACTAGATGAGCTTTAAGGAGATTAAGAGATTTAATATTTATTTCTTGGATAATTAAAGTGCAACAACATAAGTTTAAATTAAATACAACAAAGCGACGAAAACTTAGCCATAAACAACCATATTATGGCGAATAAAAACGAAGAAGTGAGAGGGAGGGATCATATTGGAAAACGATCTTCTGCACAATGGGTTTCCTAGGGCGATTGATCGAGCGATTGCAAGTAGTTGTGGAATGGTGAGCGTCGGTATACCTTATTGATACGGCATCACAAAATCATCTTGATCGGGCACGAATCTCGAGGCAAAAGCCAGTTGGAAACTTCTAAAATTAAATTCGGGAGCAAATGAACTCCGATTTCAGCGAGCTTACTGTCGAACTTAGCGTCTCGGAAATACGAACCCAACGACACCAAGTTCGACTCAATCCGAGCCCAAAGGGGTCCAAATCATGGATCCGAAGCGCTGTTGGAAGGTTCAAACCACTATTTGAGTTACCAAACGAACTCCGATTTTGACGAGCTTATACTCGAATCGAAGGGCTCGACGAGACGAATCCAACAAGCCCAAGATCACAGAATTCCGACATCACTAAGGCCTTCAAATGTCCAATGAACGGTGCATGATCGTAGGATTCAATATCGGCCGTCCATTGGACCACTCCCTATTCGCCCCTGATCTCACGCCTATTTACGGGCCATGCCACTCCAGAAAATCTATAAATAGAGCACTCATTTCTCATAAGAGGGGGATCGAAGCAAGAGAGAGAAGAGGAGAAGAGAAGGAAGGAGTTCCTTCTCGACAGCCGCCGGACCACCGCCGGACCACCGCAGAACCTCGCCGGACCACCGCCGGACCACCGCAGGAATCTCGTCGGACCACCGCCGAACCACCGCAGGAACCTCGCCGGACCACCACAAAACCTCGCCGGACCACCACCTACGGTCTCCTGCCGACTACAGTTCTTCAGGCCTTTGTCGCCTACTATGGTCCTTCCGACCTCCATCAACATACAACGGTCTTTCTGACCCCGGTCTCCTGCCGACCACGGTCTCCTGCCGACTACGGTCCTTCAGGCCAAACAAATCTGTATTTGTAACTCTTACCATGTAATGCAATCTATATGATGTACATTTGCTACATCAATCCAAGGCCTTCTCCTAAGGAAGGGCCTCATTTGTAATTGACTACAAATACTAGTGGATTCATTCAAACTGGGCCAGGCCCCGTGGTTTTTCCCCCTTTTCAGGGGTTTTCCACGTAAAAACTTTGGTGTCTCTTATGAACGCTACACCCTCTCACTTATCTGATTGTGTGCTGGATCTTCGTACAATGCTAAGACATTAAATTATATATTTCTCTACCGTCGCGAATATTCCAGGACACAACACTTATTATAGCAAGGATCTGTGACGATGGAGTATGGGTGACCATGGCTTATGCGTTATTCTAAAGAGGCGAGGGTGATGAGATAATGTTAACAACTGAAATCAAGTGGACTCTTCTTCTGTCTTGCAACAATAAAGCATTAAATCTGCCAAATTGACTGATTTCAAATCTGGACTATTCGAAAAATTACCTCTTTTCATGGTAAATCCCAGATTATGAAAAGAGGTAATTTTTCGTCAATCGCGAGTTTCATTCACCGTGAGATTTGATTTTGCATTTTTGGGCATTTGGTTGGATTTAGCTCAAATTGACCTCAAATCCGGTCTAAATCCTGCATCCAAACAGCCACTTATTGTATTATGTTTTGAGTAAATTATATAAATGTTTGCTGAAAATATATTAGGAATATCATTTAAAGTTATTAAAACGTAGTTTCATTAAAAAAAAAAATAGTAGTATTGGTGTGAGTTATTGAATGACAAAAATATTATTGCTGCGGGCTACAATATTCGCGGCGGTAAATTACCAAAAATTTTCACGTCTTAGTATTGGACGAACTTCTAGCACACAAACAAAAAAAAATATCATAATTTTTATGTGGAAATCCCTGAAAGAAAAAATCATGTGGCCACATCAGTTGAAATGATTATACTATTGTTTGAATATATTACAAATAATTGATTTGTCTTGAAAATTAAGGAATATCATATTACCACAATCAACCGTCGGGTAGAAATCTAGTGACGAACGAAGATCAGACGAAAATCCGGCGACGTTCAGTGGTTGGGGTAAAATCTTGCGTTGGTTGGTGATCGGGCGGTAGTCTGGCGCGCAATGGTAGCCAAGCAAAAGTCCGTCGATAGTCTGGCAACAGTTGGAGGTCAAGCGGTAGTCAAGGAAGAGTTTGTTGGGCAAGAAAATTCTAATTTCTCTTTCTTCCTTCTCTCCCTTCTCTTCCTTAAGTTTCCAACTTGATTTTGCCTTGAGATTCGTGCCTAATCATGATTATTTTTTGATGATATACCAATTATAAAGAAGAATTTTATCTAATTCTAATAAAATATTTGTAGTATTAATTAATATATAAATAAATAATTAATTAGATTATCTAATAAGACTAAAATCCTTTAAATAGTTTTTGGGAATCTAAATTAAATGCTGTTCTTAAAAATTTGTTTTCCAACTTCAAGAATATTGAATTTTTCAGCCTTAATTTTTCCCCTAAACTCGAAACTTCTTTCATTCAAATTTGAACTTTATTCTCATTCAAGAACCATTCATGGCCTCATACTATGAGGAACAAAATCTTGTCAGCAATTCAATCTGAGAGTCCTTCAAGGAATTTCTTTTCACTATCCAACACACATTGAAAGCCATCAATGATGGAAATTTGTGGCAATAAATCAATGTGTTTTGAATGGTGCTGAAAAAGTTCTTATGAGAATTTCTATAATTCCTTTATAGATTTACTATCAGAAGAATGAAAGAGGAAAGAAGAGAAGTGGAGGCAAAAACAGCTCAGAAGGGGAATCTAACATAACAATATAGCCTGTTAAGAGAAGTCGAGGCAAGAAGAGCTCAGAAGAAGCCTCAAAATAATGCCTATTGCCTGAGAGCCATGAGCTGAACGTCGAGAGGAAGATATGCAAAAGCCAAAGCACTGAAAAGGGTCGCTCTGGAAAATGAGTAACCATGAATCCAAGAAGATCATTTACAGTGCATCGATAATGACACAATGACCCAGCAATTCATGATTTTGGTATAAATTCGACATTTTTTCCCTGTAACTTTCCCAAAAGAAACGTATTATTAAATGTATCAATATGGATTGCATTCAATGTTATATAATCATGAATGCATGGCTGTTGTAATTAATATACTGTAATAACTGTATTTTAATTGAAGTAATAATTTTTTTCCCAAAGTAAATATAACTCTAAATTGCAAACCGTCTTGGTCATAATGTTGTTATTATAGTATTTTACTTACAATATATATTTGTTTTCGTAATTTTTGGGCACCGTTGAAAATCCTATGGAAAATCGCAAATGTCAATATAAGTGAGGATTTTGAGACTTTCAGGTATTCGTTTTACAAACCGATTTCATCAATATTTTTTAAATAAAACGATTTAATTTATTGATATTTTTATGTAATTTTTGAAGTCCAAAAATAATTTATTTAAATTTTATACTAAAAGAAATTGATTAAATTAATTATCTGTACAATGAAACAGTACTATTAAATAATATAAGTATCTTTTAGTATAAAATTCAAAATTGTTATTTGTACCAATGTGTCAATTTCTTAAGGATTATCGACCGTGCCCGAAAATTATGAAAAAATTATTGTAAGTAAAATACTACAATAACAACACTATGGTTGATACGTACTCCAAAAATTATCTTGATCGGGCACAAATCTCGAGGCAAAAGCTAGTTGGAAACTTCAAAAATTAATTTTGGGAGCACCCGAACTCCGATTTCTGCGAGCTTACAGTCAAACTGAGCGTCTCGGAAATACGAACCCAATGACACCAAGTTCAACCCAATCCGAGCCCAAATGGGTCCGAATAATGGACCCGAAGCGATGTTGGAATGTTCAAACCACAATTTGAGTTACCAAACGATCTCCGATTTTAACGAGCTTATACTCGAATCGAACGGCTCGACGAGACGAATCCAACAAGCCCAAGATCGCTGAATTCCGACATCACTAAGGCCCTCAAATGACCAACGAACGGTGCACGATCGTATGATTCAATATCGGCCGTCCATTCAACCACTCCCTATTCGCTCCTGATCTCACGCCTATTTACGGGCCATGCCACTCCAAAAAATCTATAAATAGAGCCCTCATTTCTCATGAGAGGGGGGCCAAGTAAGAAGAGAAGAGGAG